CCCCCCCAAAAAAAAAGACTAGACAAATTTTTGGGTGGCTGGCTCTTGTGCCCTGTCTTCACTGCCCTGCCTGCGTAATCCCCAGCCATCACCAATAACAGCAGCAGCAATGCTGCCACCTCAACTACCGTCAGAACCAGGTCCCAGACCCAAACCCCCAGCGCTGCCCTCAATCCTGCCCCCATGGCCTCTCCCAACTACAACTTCTACCTGGGCTGCCTGGGCAAGAATATCTTCCTCCTTCCTTCTCTCTGTGCCCTCTTTCCCTGAAGTATGCTTTTCAAATTTGGGCAAGGAGGACTGCGCATGCACACTGACTGGCTGGCTCTCGTGCCCTGTCTTCACTGCCCCCAGTGCTGCCCTCAACCCTGCCCCCATGGCCTACTCCAGCCTTCCCTCCTTTGATTCCTACCTTCCCATAAGGCAGGAATCAGGGGAACTTTGGAATCAGAGTGAGTGTGCTTTCGCACCTACCTTGGCACCTGAATCACTTCACTTTCTGCCCAACTTTCCCACCCATCCAAAGCTGCCAGAGCTTCATACTTGACCCAACCAGGGACCTCATGGATCTCAGTGCTCCCCCTGACATGAGTGCACAAGCACAAAGCAGGGAGGCACATGAAGCTTAGAGGCTGTGTGTGCTCTTGTGAGAACCCTCCCTCTGCCGTGAGTGCACTCTCCAGCTGCTTGTATTTTAGAGTGGTGCTCATAAGTTAAAATGAAACCCCGACCTAGCAATAGCTCACAACTTGTACATATGTAGGGATGCTTGTAGAGGTTCCACTGTATTCCAAATTTTGTGCATGAAACAAAATGTGTATGCATTGAACCAAGTGAAAGATATCACCTTCACAGTCACCATGTGGATGAATATGGAGTATTTCAGAATTCCAGGAAAGGGATGCTTAACGTGTATTAGCTTCTCCTTGTCGACTTGTTCCGCTCCATGCACCATGTTATTATTTCCAAGAAATCCCTGTCCACTTTGATCGTTTCTCCCCTCTGCTTACCCTGCATTGCACCCTCATTGTCAAGGCGATACTCCTTGTGACCATATTTTGGCAAGTGGTCAGATTGATGTCTCTCAGTTGGGGCACGAGGAGCAAATGCAGCATTGAAGGGATGAAATCCTTGTTCTGCCCCAGTAAACAGATTAGATCCTGGACATGGAAGAAAGCTGTGGAAGGAAACAAATACCTTACTTATTAACATCATTTTTGCTACTGTTCGCCACATTCAAGTCATCTTCTACTTAAGCCAACCCAATGAGTGAGAGATCTCAACCTGTTCAGGTCTCGCAGGCTCAAGATCATGGAATTCTTGGTTGTATTTCAGCATCTGTAATGTGGTCTCCCTTCTGTTTTATTACCTTCCACTTTCCCAAGCATTGTTTTCTCTACTGAGAAATATTATTTAATGACATGTCCAAGGTACAACAGTCTCAGCTTAGTCATGCTGGCTTTACTAATGATAATTCAGGTTTGATTTGCTCGTAAGAGTCATTTAATTTTAACAGTTCATGGCATCCACAGAACGATCCTCCAGTACAACATTTCAAATGAGTTGATTTTCTTCCTATCAACTTTTTTTCACTGTTCAGCTTTCACAAACATACATAAAAATAGGGATGACATAGAGAAACCTGAAATAGGTATTCAATGATATATTAATGGGAAGGCAGGAGGGTAAGTATAAGTTGGCACTTTGTTGAGAACAGGCAATTTAAGATCTATGGGTGGCTGGGGATCTGAGGACTCATTAGGACATTTTCTTCCATTCAGTATCTTTATAACTTGCATTTCCTCCAAAAAACAAACTAAAAAACAAAACACCAGCTGGCACACATGGTTCTCTTAAATCCTCACTCTATGTCATCCCTTTAGCCTGACAATGATCTATATAAATAAAAATATAATGTTAGTTTGTGGGATTAACATAACTCAAAAACCACAAGACGAATTGACACCAAATTTGGACACAATACACCTATCAGGCCAATGAGTGACCGTCACTGATAAAAATACAGAAAAATACAGCAGAAGAGACTTAAAAAGCAAAAAAATAAAATAAAATACATTACAACGCATGCACAAAACCACAGACACACATGCGCAAACACACACACACACACACATGTAAACACACATATACACAAATATATACACAAAAAACACATATACACAGACTGGACCACAGCAACACATGGCAGGGGATGCCTAGTCATAACATATTAGAATAGCCTGCAAAGCATGTCAAGAACCAAAAAGACCCAGCAAGCTTCTGGAACACATCCACAACTTGGAGTCCTTGTGGACAAGAAGTTAAACATGAGCCAACAATGTGATGTGGCGACAAAAAAGGCCATGGGATTTTGGCCTGCATCAATAGGAGCATAGTGTCTAGATCTAGGGAAGTAATGCTACCCCTCTATTCTGCTTTGGTTAGACCACTTTACCTGGAATATTGTGTCCAATTCTGGGCACCACAATTCAAGAGAGATATTGACAAGCTGGAATGTGTCCAGAGGAGGGCGACTAAAATGATCAAGGGTCTGGAGAACAAGCCCTATGAGGAGCGGCTTAAGGATCTGGGCATGTTTAGCCTGAAGAAGAGAAGGCTGAGAGGAGATATGATAGCCATGTATAAATATGTGAGAGGAAGCCACAGGGAGGAGGGAGCAAGCTTGTTTTCTGCTTCCCTGGAGACTAGGACGCGAACAATGGCTTCAAACTACAAGAGAGGAGATTCCATCTGAACATGAGGAAGAACTTCCTGACTGTGAGAGCCGTTCAGCAGTGGAACTCTCTGCCCCGGAGTGTGGTGGAGGCTCCTTCTTTGGAAGCTTTTAAACAGAGGCTGGATGGTCATCTGTCAGGGGTGATTTGAATGCAATATTCCTGCTTCTTGGCAGGGGGTTGGACTGGATGGCCCATGAGGTCTCTTCCAACTCTTTGATTCTATGATTCTATGAAATGAGTCCTGGTCCAAAAAGGTTCACCTGAGTGAGCAGAAGATTCTATGATTCTATGATCCGAACTTGCATCCACAGTTTTTGAAAACTAATCTGACAGCAATCCAGTCTTAATCAAAATCATGCCTTTCCAATGCACTGGATTGCTCTCAGTCACTTTTATTTCAGATTCCTTGTTATTAATTTAACTGACAGCTTAAGTTTGGAAATTAATGTCATTTTTCTATCATAATCTATTTGTAGTTTTATATGTTACCTGGAGCCCTGAGGAAAATGCATACATACATACAGTTGAACCTCCATGTCTATGCAGTTAACCATCCACAGCTTTAAAAAAATTATAAATCCACAAAACGATCTTTTATTTTGCCATTGTACGTCAAAGGCACCAATTTATTATGCCATTGAATATAATGGAACTTTGGATCCACAGATTATTTTAATTCCCTGTTTTAATGTTAAATGATGTTGTCTTTTATGATTTAATTGATACTTGTATGTTATTATTGTTATGTTAGGTTTCTGTATGTGAGGCATTACATTTTGCCATAATTATGTTGGAAACTGCACCCTAGTGGTTATGGAGATCTTACTGTACTTGCCTAAGTCATCCTGTTTGTAGTCTGTGATCCAGTAAGGACTTGCCTTCCAAGCCAGCTCCTTCAGGCACAGCTTCTCCAGTGAGAGGACTTTCCATCTCTTCGGCATGGAGTTCCTAGACCCCAAGGAAGAGAAATAAAAGAGGGAAACTGTTGGAAATACCATTTTGCTGTAGGTAACTTCATGCCATGCTCCTGGGTTTCCAACAGACAACTCACTGGCCATGATATGCAAACAATGTTGTGCTAGATCAAACTTTAGCTTGCTCTTCTTAGGCTCCTAAACTAAACACCTTTCATTTATAGCTGGTCTTGCTGGAATCATTTCCCAAAAAACCTAGCAATCAAGGTGGTGTGGTGGTTTAAGCCCAGTGAGTTTCATGGCTGAGTGGCAATTTGGACCCTTTTGTCATTTGGGAGTTGTAGTTGCTGGGATTTATAGTTCACCTACAATCTAAGAGCATTCTGAACTCCACCAATGAGGGAACTGAACCAAACCTGGCACACAGAACTCCCATAACCAATAGAAAATACTTGGTGGGCACTGACCTTGAATTTTGGAGTTGTGGTTCACCTACATCCAGAGAGCACTGTGGTCAAACAATGATGGATCAG